AACACTTAATAACCTAAAGAAAATAACTTAGATTCAGATATAATTATGTCTGTATAACTGTACACTTTCAATGAACAAAATAGGAGCTATCAGAAACAGTTTTACTTTTAATACAATGTAGTTACAATGTAAACAAAATGAATAATATCTGCTATTAGACAATATATAAGTGTATAGAACCACATATCTTAGTATTACTTCAATTATCTCTCTACTGGTAGAATTCATTCGCAAACAAAATGGGCAACATAGTGAATTGATGAAAGATCAGTTAAAACCTGATTCACGGGAACTAAAACACTTCAGAACACTGTAAAACCATGATTAGACTTCTGTAGACGTTAACAATTCCAAGTCTGTTGTAATATGAAATTCAAGATTTTCATCCCAACTTGATAATGTGTCTTGGTCGTTGTTCTTAACAATGGTCGTTGTAGAATTGTAGTTATTAAACAATAAATCGGTATTTTTGTAAGGTGATGGGGGTTGATGAATATTCTCTTGTTTTAATGAATGTTTTGTATTTCTAAACTGAGAATTATCATTTCTAATGTCGTCATTATGAGATCCTGTTGAATAAATATTTGATATTTGATTGACCGTGGTGTTATTTATCGATGTTTGATTTAGCTGAACATTCAGAGTCAAATGATCAGGTAATAAATTGAAATCGAAATCTTGTATAAGACGCTGTCCATCGTGACGCACTGATGATTATCTTTATTATTAAAAGGTGAATACTAAACAAATAAGAAACACGAAAAAAATAATAGCACTTTTACAATCAATGACGAATAATTATATTAATTAATTAATATTAATTAATCATAAAACAATTTTCACAATTAAAATCACAAACTGATTTTTTCTAGACCAACACTGAAAACCTGGAAGGAAGCATGGGATATCTCTTTCGTTCTAATACGGAACTCCTTAGCTATGCGCACCTACGACTGTACATCAGAACCGAGAAGCCGTGGTCTCGAGTGAGAACATTTAACTTCTAAACTAATGAACCAGCATCTAATGGTGCTAATGCCTAACTTAAATCAATCCAAGATCTTGTGCAACTTTAAACATATCGCCTATTATGGATAACTGTGTCACGGTTTGAACTCCATTGATAAAAGATTCCCACTAAAACCCCAAGAGTTATATCTTGAAATCGGTCACTGGCGACCACATGGTTGTTATAAGTGTAGGGAATTTCTATTATATTCGCTGGGACTAAAGGTCTTGAGTTCGATTGCCGCGTATGTGATCATGGATGCGAACATCTAAGGCGTTTCCTACCAGGACAAAACGATAGTCCAATACTTCTGAGTTTTCACTGCCGTTTTAACTAAGATCAGTTTGTGATTTCAACACTACAATCCTCACAAATCTTTCGTACTCATAAATTACTTGTCTAGAGATCAAATCTCTTGCTTAAGAACTTTTCAAATAGAAAAACAAATAATTTTAAAATGAATGATTGAATACATAAGTGTCAGTGAATTTAATCGACTAATACAATTTTAAAAACATAGAATGACATATGAGGTGCTTAAAATGGGTTTTTTATAGCTACAGTGTGGCTAATTTTTCAATACTTTTCATTTTACTGTGCATTTATAATTCAGTCCTTTAGTAAATCTTCAAAGTATAATGAGAAGATGGAGTTAGTCTGAAAAACAAAATGAATTTGCCAATAATTCTACAAAGATATCAACATTTTATTAATGACTATAAATCTGTTTATATATCAACACCTAGTACCTGAAGATGTATAACGAAAATAGCAAACTAAAAGCGAAAACAACCAGATAGCTAACAGGGAAAGTTAGTAGGGTGAAAGAAATCGGAAAAACGCTAGAAGTACTATTTTAACCTGGTGTAAAACTAATATATTATTACGAGATAGTGGAGGATGTGTGTAGCTCAGGATTCAGTTGAATATTATAAAGAGAAAACATAAAGAAAGTCAGAGAATTTTCAAAAAGCTGGTACTCCAAACAAGCACCGATTAATAAACACTCCGAAATCAGTCAAATCTATATGGAAATATAAAAAAAATTAGTAACTAAGAGGTCAGAATTCAGATCAAGAGGGAAACAAAGAGAAACAAATATACAGATGAACACTACTCAGGAATGAATAACAACCAACTAAATTACTTTTTTCAACAGAGTAAGCTGTTAGTCAAATGTAAATATATTCTAACTGAACAACGATTTATGAACTAAGTACTCTTAATTTTGTTTAGAAAAATCATAAAAGCTTCACAATTAAACTGTTCAGTTCAAAGACCATAACAGCTTTATTTTGTAACTTTAGAATTACATACATATTTACTTTTGATAAATTTATTAAAACAGTTTTCTAGCATGGTAATAAGAATGCTTTATAAATAGAAAATTAACCGGACTCGGACATTAACGTCGTTGTATGCGGACTAAGTGGTCTGGCGGTTAAGTGTTCGCGCGCAAGACCGAAAGTCGTGGGTTTGAGTTCTGCATGCAGGAGCACAAGTGCGTACTTCTGAGAAACTTCATACTAGGACGAAACGGCCGTCCAGTGCTTCCAGGTTCTCGGCAGTGGTCTAGCCTAGATCGGCTGGTGGTTTCAAGTGCGAAATACTACAATCTCTGCAAATCCCCATAAAAATAAATGATTACCAAATAAATTTTGAAATCAAACTTTATTATTTTACCTCCATTGGCAATGAATTCAATTCCATACTTGTTTTAACTGTCTTAAACCTATTATAATCAGTACTCATTGAGTTTCTGTTTAAAGATTTTCTCTGTAGACTATTATACTTCACATAATTTGAATTTTCCGGTTCATACGTCTCTATGTGTGATTTCGACATTATATAATTATCTCCATTTGTATTCATTTGATAAAAATGATGATTACTACTGTGATTATTTGGGATGGTAGCCGTCAAGTTGAAAGAAGCGTTACCATTACTTGGTGGTGTATTATTGATGGAATTTATAAATTTTTGATAGACAGAACGATTTTGAGTCATTGAAAATTCCACATCATAAGATTTTTGATCAGGATGCGTTTGTTCATTCTGGTAATTTGTATTCCGTTGATATTGGACAGATGGTAAGGAATTAATAGTTTGGTTCAATGGTATTATTGAATCTTCTATTGATATCTAATTGACATAAATTGTTCTGATTTAGTATTGTAGACTCATTTTGTGAAGATGAGTAAAGATAAGGTGCTGATAATTGGTCAATGCATAGTTTGTTTGAATTGCATGGACTCGGTATATTCTGGTTTATTAATATTTCATTGTTTATTGGGTGACTTAAGTCAGTAATCAATTGATTATTTTGAAATGAGTATGGTAATGAAAAATTGTAGGGTGAGTTAATTGTAATGTTGATTTCAGGATCGGAAATCAGGCAAACACATCAAACCAGAAAGTAAACTGTTTGCAATTAGTTCCCCAAATCAATTTTTGTAAAGCACTAAAAACAATGAACTGTGGGATACAGTGAACGTACTTCATTCCCCATTGTCTAAATCTTCCATACCATGATTGTTTTACAAACTAATCTATGTAATAAAGAATTTTACTCGTCACTGCCATTATTCGGCACCTCCATTAAAAAAATATATTTAAAACGTATTTATCATTTGATCTGTTTGACCTCTAAACTTTATTTGACGTTCTCTGTCCAACCTGTCAACTTCTATTTATTTTAAACAATTTATCATTACTAATTTACGGTTGTCAGTAGTCTAAATCGTCTTATTAATTTGACACTATTCAGTGAAATGTTTAACTCCAACTCTTATTGATAATTACTATCGATCATGGTTTTTGTATGTTTTACATACTCTATTTCGTCATTGTCTGTTCATCTCGGTTAGTTTGTTTGCCGATTGATTAAGCTTGCCTATTTATAAATAAAATATTTATAATTATTCTTCACTTGTGAAATAAATGACTTTATGGGTCTTACAGACAAAATTAAAAGTCCATAGTTATTTCATTAAATAGACAATTTAGGCACTACATCTAACAGTATTCCATTATTCACCCCAGGCCAATTAGATATTTTAAAAGTTGTATTTTAGATATGTAATCGATAATCTTCTATTCTGATGTATAGCAATTATTTATTTTAATGAAATCATTAAAACAATTTTAAAATTACCGTTACATTTATTTATATACGTTGTTCGAAACTTCCTATTGATGTTCAAGAGTGCAACTGCTCAGTCATTTATTGGCATATGTGCATCTTGTTCGTATTGCCTTAAGTCACATGGATCAGAAGTAGAGTAAATGTAGTTGACGAGTCTCAAATGATATGAAACACGCACCCTGGATTCCACTACTAATCACCATCTATCTCTGCTTATAGTATCGTCAAATATGAGCTTTTCCAACTACTACATAACAAACCTTGTTATAGTGTAGTCAATTTCTTCAAAAGCGTGTACTAACAACCGACATTTTTTATCCTCTATTCAAACATTTATTACAGCTTGTATACAAGACATTTTGAATGGAATTTCTCTGTTTAATTACGCTTCAAACAGATTTATTATCCAGATGATTAGGAATATATGCTGATAATAAACATAATAGTAAATAATTATAAATGATCCATTCAAATTTACGACCAATTCGATCCTTTTTTTATTTTGGATAACTTTTTGTAACTCATTTAATTTTCTAATAGAAAAAGCTTACCAAGAATTATTAAACGGTGACCATCGAAGTAATTGTCAATGGAGAAAATGAATACGATTCATGATAGTGAACTCTATTGCTTACCTAGAGTATTAAAATACGATTGGAATATAATTTGTAATAATTTTAGGTATTTTATCCCACAATTTTTGACAGTCGAATAGCACCGTATAATAACATTAAACTAAATCATTATTTTTAGACTGGTTGGGGTTTGATCACCATATGAGTCAAATAAATCTGGAGTGAAATATATTGTGTACTACTATTGTAAAATAATATATAAGTAAATTAATCAAGTAAATTTACATAATGACTGATTTGAGTTGTTTATTAATCCTTGACTTGTTACACAATTATTGTAACTTTGAGTAAAATCATCAAATCTTCCTACTTCACTTGTACTAACTGTTCTATTACTTGGAGCTTTACTACCAAGTGAACTGTCTGTTTGAGCAATAAGAATTTCTGGACTAGTATTGCACAGAACATCCCAATTATGATTATTTAGGACAAGATTAAAAGGATTTTGATTATTATGTAATGCATCATTAGAATTCTCAGTATAGTGTATTCCTGTTGTTAATTCAACTGTTTCAGGTGATCTAATGTTATGAAAGGTTGAATTAATCATATTTGGATATTCACATATCTCACCATTTGGTTGAATATTACTGTTCATTGTTTTTGTCAAATAGTTTGAATGATATATTTTAAATGTTAAACAACAATCATTCATAAAAGCATTAGATGAACATACTTTGGAATCATATTTTTCAGTAACAAATGTTGATTTATTTAATTGTTGCCTTCTGTGTATATTCCACTTCAAAGTAATCAATAAAATGAAGATGATTGATACAGCGCATAATCCTAACAGGATTATAAACCACCAATGATGATAAAATGGTGTTACAATTGTTTTTACTATAGAAAATAAATAAGTAAATATTAAAATGTTTTTCAAAAGGAAAATCAGTAAGATAGAACTATAATAACAGTAAGAATATCACAGCACTTTATGTGAGGACTTATCGTGATCAATAGGAAAGGTCAGTGAGTAACCTGATAATATATTTACCACTATTATAAAAAAATATTGGGAGATTTGTTCACTGCCGTAAGTTAATCGATACTGATATACAGGTAAAAAAATGATCTATTCTTATTAACCAAACTGTCCAGTAATCTACAGTTCAAGACGAAACCAGTGAATTGAAACATGTTGGAGGTTATAAGTCAATAATTAGACGCTTATCAATAAAACAAAAACGTTCTAGAATAATTTTATGTACCACTGCACTTATGAAGATGAAATGGTTCCTTCCTAAAAATTGTGCTGACTTACATACACATGTTACCTACCATGAAAGAGCATGGGCCAACAACAACTATTCTCCATCCAACTCTGTCTTGAAAAATCACTTGCAGTTCTTTCCAGTTGCTATTCATTTTTTAATGCCTGCTTCCGACTCCCGGCGCAGTGTGTTATTTGACCTACCTTTTCCCGTTTCACTTCACAATTTCAAGTTAGCGCTTGCTTAGTGATGCAGTTTGATAATTTCAGTAACGTATGTCCTATCCACTTCCAACGTCTTTCCCTAATTTCCAATTCAACTGGAAGTTCGTATGTTCTCTCTTACAATAGGCTGTTACTGATGCTTCCCGTTCAACGGACATTGAGTATCTTGAGTCGACAACTGTTTATAAATACTTTCAGCTTCACGATGATGGTTGTGGTAGTTCTCGAAGTTTCATTTCCATACTGTAGGACTATCTCGACGTTCGCATTGAAGATTTTGACTTTGAGATTGACTGACAATTGTTTTGAGTTCCATATGTTTTTCAACAGTAGGAATGCTGTCTTTGCTTTCACACACCACAGTGTCGAAGCAGGTTCCAAAATGTTGTCCTGTCCACACTGTCGAATGCTTTCTCGCAGTCAAGGACATTGATGTATAGTTACAAGTTCCATTCATGACCGATTCTTACGGAATCCGGTCTGTTAGTATCGAAGTTGAGTGTCTACTGAATCTATGATTTAGTCCAGCAACACTCAGTTGAAAACCTCTTCTGGTACCGATATTAGTCTGGTTCATTTGTAGTTCTCACTTTTGTTCAGATCATCTTACCTTGGCATCGTGATGAGATGTTCTTCTTTCGAATTTGTCACTGACCCCTGTTCTTCCTCCCAAATATTCCTGAATGGAATGTCGAGCAGGTTTGCAGTCACTTCCATATCTGATGTCAGTGCTTCAGCTGGTATGTTGTCAGGTCGTGCTACCTTCGTATTCTTCATTTTTTTGATGACTATCCTGAATTCTTCGTTCGTTGGTGGAGTGACATCTGTAATATATATCTGTGTGTGCTGCTTCAATATTCGGGTGGTTCAATGGAGCTTGTCTATTCGACGGATTCTCAAATCGTTCCACCCATCTGTTCCTCTCTTCTTCAATATCAGTGATTTTCTTGCCCTGTTTGTCCTTGACCGGTCTTTCTGGTTTACTATATGATCCCGGATCCATGAGATTCTCATCCTATGATTGATTTTTGTGTTATTTTGGATAGTATATGTTCAACTCCCTGCGTACGGAGAGCATTTTTTCTTCATGACTAGAGTACAGCATCAACTCTCCCTAATCTATCCTTTGATGTCTAGCTTGTGTCCAATGTGTTACGCTGATTCCGAGCACTGTCAAGTTGTAGTATTTTGACTGGTCTTTTTGATCTCCCATATCGTCTTGACGTTCCATGTACCTATAAAAAGTTTTGTCACGATTTTAGAAGGGGCACCCGCTTCGTGACATCCAAAGAATCTCGGATTTCACCATGAATCGTCGTAATTCTTTTGAATGAAGATCTTTCAACTCGGAAAACAGATTTTAAATGGTTGAATTTGTGCAACCAGGTTAGCGTTTTTTGGCGAGATTGTTTTCCACGGGATGGGGTTGCCGACTCCATGCACAACCCTTCGTGTGGGCATTAGATCGGCAGTAAATCTAGAAGAGCTACAAGCTGAGTCTTCCTTAAAATGCACTGTTGTTTATTTGACTTGAGGTCTAGAATGAAATTGTGTATTCAAATATCTCAAATAATTAAAGTAGGAGATGTCTTGATAGCCAAATTATAACTGTAGTTAATGTTTAGTTATTACAGATATAACTTCAAATAGTGACATATTTTAAACTCAAAGAAAAGATAACCAAACTCATCGAAAACTTCGGACAAGTTAAGAAAGCTGTTATTTTAAACAACAAGCATCATTTAGGTAGAATTTTGTAAGCTATAACACCAGACTACATGAGAATCTGTATCACGTCCTAGCTCAGGATTTACTGGGAAATTGGAGAACCACCTACTTATTCATCCAGGTTTTATTTGATGTTTGTTAGTGACAGGGTTTTAAATATATTAATATCTCTAACGGATACTTTAAAGTCTACTTAGTTACTCCTTGACAGTCAGTCTGAGACGTTTTCTTATAAAATGATTTAAGGTATAAAACCATCCAGATCATGAACAAAATTCACCTTATATCTTTCTTTGAACATATGACTTATCATAACCACTTCAGAACTGCGCTAAATCTTAGTTTCATATTCAACTTCCCCATCTTCAGTTTTATTCACCATATTTTATGACTGACCAATGAATTTTAAATATTTATACCATGAGATCCTTTTACTCCATATCGCACACAGTCATATATAAACCAGTCAGAATAAAAATATGTTGATTTTAATAAAGGTTAATTTGTCATCAGTTTTAATCACAAAGATTTCAGTCTTATTTAATTACTTTCGATAGTGTTCTGAGGTCGACGAGTTTCCAATCCTGGTGGTATGAATTAAAAAACAACATGCTAAAGCTATAAAATTAAATATTCACAAGACAGTTGTGCATGGCCGACCCAATAAGTTGTTCCTTGCAACTAATGGTCATTTTTTCAAGATGATTAGTTTCCTAAAACCAATTATCTCTGCCAGTTGTTCCAGGAGAAGTATTTTTAATGATTTAAACAAACAGAAGTTGTCTATCGTCCATACACTGGCAGCTATATCCATTTTCTACTGATGAATATACTACTGAAAGATATATTCTCTTTAATTTACCAGAACAATATAACAATCAAATATACTTCGCTTACACTTTATAACACTCCAGTCTGACTCTTGACTAGGTAGACCTATTTAAAATTGATTAACTGGAGATACACGAAATTGAATAGCTACATGTGTTGTAGAATCTATCGGTACATTAGCATCATTAAATGCAGCTGTAATCATTCGTATTCAGTCAGTCAGTCAGTCAGTAACAACGTAGAACTTCGTACGTACGTACATCAGTTCGAGTTGTCACACCACATTAGCACAGAGATGCAGTGGTCGATTCAAATCCCGTAGTGGTAGAGGTAGCAAGAGTATAAGCAGTAATCGGGATGATTAGGGTTTGGAGATGTTATTTAAAGAGTATAATCCAGTGAAAGAAATTTGGAAAGAGGAAAAAAGGGACATGAAGAATTCAGAAGATTAGAATTTGGGAGAACACAGAGAGTGGATGCACCTGCGCCATTGCAAACGATTTTGAGCCATGTCATTCAGGGTCTCTAACCATCGGTTGCTATGATCTCGCGGTCCCCAACCAGGTAGTCTACACCTACCAACATGACTCAGTCCACTTGTCAGTGACTTCATGGACTTGTGCCATGTTTTGGTTTGGCCGCCCCTAGCTTTCTTCCAACCTACTCCTATACCACTGAACATAGCACGTCGAGGCAGTCGGTCGTTGGGCATACGTAACACGTGTCCCAGCCATCTCAACTGATGAAGTTTCACTACTTCATCAATTGATTTGCCATCCTTACCTAGTACCCGTTTCCTAACAACTGTGTTACTTACTCGATGGTCCCATGATATACGAGCAATGTTTCGAAGACACCTATGATCAAATACTAGTAACCTACGGATATCCTCTACTCTTACCGGCCATGTTTCACTGCCATAAAGTAGGACGGAACGAACTGCTGCGCAGTAAACACGTCCTTTGGTTGATAGACGGATATCTCGCCTACGCCATAAATGACGCAAGTTGGCAAAAGCTAGTCGAGCCTTCTGTATCCGTGCTGAGATTTCGTCACACACCAAACCACAAGGGCTGATGAGACTTCCAAGATAAGTGAAGCGGTCGACACACTCAACTACTTCACTCCCTATCACTAGTTCGGGTGTCGATGTAACCCAATCCTGAAGCAACATTTTGCATTTCGAGGGAGAGAATCGCATCCCGAACATGCTTGCATTGTTGCTTAGAGTGGTCAGAAGACTCTGCATTTTGTCAGCGTCTTCACCAAATAAAACTATGTCATCAGCATATTCTAAGTCAACAAGTGAACCTCCCGGTAGAAGTTCAACCCCTGGAAATTTAGATGAGGAGAGTGTTATCTCTAAAAGTACGTCGACCACAAAGTTGAACAAGAATGGGGAGAGTGGACAGCCCTGACGAACACCATTTGAGGTAATCAATCCTGATGAAAGTTCGCCATAAGCTCTTACTCTACCAGTTCTGTTCGAGTAGAGAGCCTTTATAAGGTTAATGTACTTCTTTGGTACTCCTTTCAGTGACAAACACTGCCATAGAACCTCACGATCAACAGAGTCGAATGCCGCCTTAAGGTCGAGAAACACTACCATTGTGGGGCGTCTGAATGTGTGTATATGTTCTAGGACCTGACGTAGTGTGAATATCTGATCTATACAACCACGTCCAGGTCGAAAACCAGCCTGGTTTTCTCTAGTCTGCTCTTCACGAGCTTTGATTAGGCGTCGAAGTATTATTGAAGCTAATATTTTAGACACTATATTAGTCAAACTGATTCCTCTGTGATTGTCACAAGAGGACTTTTGTCCTTTCTTATAAACTGGCACAATCAGTGATTGAGACCAGTCAGATGGGATTACGTCCAGTTCCCAAATTCTACCTAAGACCTCAGTTAATCTCATTGCTAATACTGGACCACCATCCTTAAAAATCTCAGGAGTAAACCTGTCAGGGCCTGCTGCTCTCCCTCGTTTCAGATTTCCTATGGCTTTTTCAACTTCGTAAAGGGACGGAGGACCTACATTAACTTGCCATTCAGGTTGACTGGAGATCGTGGGAAACCGAAGTGTGGCTGAAGGCCAGTTGAACTGATCCCTAAAGTGTTCTGCCCATCGATCCAATCTCCTGGATTGAGAATGAATAATATGTCCATCTTTCTCTGAGATTGTTTCGCTAACGGTCGGGTTCCTAATTCCGGTTTCCTTAACGAGTCTGAACAATTGTCTGCTATTACCTATTGCCGCTGCCTTTTCCATCTCTCTTGCTTTCGCTACCCACCACTGTTCGCGATCATTGCGTAGACTTCTTGTCAGCTTGCGCTTAAGCTGACTCCGCTCTTCATTATGTTCAGAGCCAGGTGGAATGAGTTTCCGAGCATCTATCAGTGCGATAGATGCTGCTGAGATCCAGTGTTGCTCCCTAACCTTCTGGTTTACCTTACTAGCAGATATCACTGCTGTTTCCACAGCTTTTCGGATATCATTCCATGCTGCATCGGGGTGGGCATCACATACATGGCTGCCTAACTGTTTTCCTAGTTGTTCCTGAAATATACTCTTAGCTTGACTATCATTAAGTAGGCCCCTAAGAGGTTTCCTTGCAGCGTCTTTCCTACGTCCAGTAAGACGCAAGCAAATACGCGCTCGCACTAGAGCATGATCTGAATCTAGGCATGTGCTCCAGAATGAGCGACAGTCTTCTATCGAGCCCCTCCATCGGTGGCTGATAGCGATGTGATCTATTTGGGTCCAACGTTGGGACGAATTAGGGGGTCGCCATGTTAAAAGATGTTTTTCCTTATGCTTAAAGTCAGTATTTGCAAGGAACAGGCGGTTATCTGAGCATAGCTGCAACAGACGGTCGCCATTATCTGTTCTTTGAGCCACGACACCATAAGATTCACCTAGGTGTCTTTCCCTATCGCTTAGTTTACCTACTTGAGCATTAAAGTCACCGGCCACTATTACTACATCCGAGCGCTTAGCTTTTCGGAGAAGGTCCGAAAGCTTTCTGTAAAACTCATCTTTTACATCATCTGAGCTGCAGTCAGTGGGAGAATAGGCAGAGACGACGAAGAGGCAACGACGAGTGTCCCTATCTTTCCGGATTCTTACTGTTCCGTTCAGTCGGACAGCGCACAAACGACTGTCTACTGGGATCCACTCTAAGAGAGCTAGTTCTGCCCTAGGACTCAATGCTATACCTACGCCGGCGAGGCCACGGGAAGCAGAATCAGGGCTTCCAGATACACGAAGCGTAAATCGAGTCGGTTCTTTATTTTGGCATGGTGAGGTCAAATGAATGACGCTACTTGGATCCTGTATGCGCGTTTCGGAGACGCAGCACACATCGATGGCGCGAGATTCTAAAGTCCTAGCTAAGGAAGCCTGCTGTCCTATTTGGCACAGTGTTCGTACGTTAAAAGCTCCTACGTGTAGTTTAGAGCGTGGTTTCAGGAGACCAGGAATGGCGTTCCACGTACTCGAATCGTTTGCCCTAGCGGTGCGAGGTGATAAAGAGACGTGAGGAGGGTTAGTCATGGAGATAAGAGAGGTATTAGGAGGTGTAGGAAGGATTTGAATGTGACCAACTTGGTCTCGTGTGCTGTTACGGGTATGAGGGCTGATGTCACTTCCCGGCTGCCCACACCGTGGAAGGGTATTTCTTGAGGAACCTGAAAAGGAAATTGGATTAGTGTTGGTCTTAACGACCTGGAAGCGTGACCGCAGAGCCCAAGGGACAACTGCTTGAGGCCGGTCGCGCACGGCCTTTTTGTGGAAGGTTTTTGACGTGTTAGCTCCGTTCTTCAAAGGGCCTTACCGCCGGAGACGGAAATCCGTGAGGTAAGGTGAGGTGTGACATTTTTAGGGTCGACCTTTTCTAACCCCACCCCTCCTTGTGGGAAGGCAGCATCGCTGTCATGCTGGTTGTCCGAGGGAAACACCTTACTGCTGTCACACCTCTCTACAGTCAGCAGTACGACTTCGCCCTCAGACCTTGAGTTGCTGCTTTTAGTCTTACCGTTCTCCAATCGACCTGCCTGGCATGGTAGAACCTGCAGGAACATATGTTCCAGCCAATATAGCTCGGTTGGGTCATCACGATAGGCAAGCCCGACCACCGCGTCAAGGTAGCAGCTTCGATCGGGAATCATTTGTATTGTCGCTTCATGATTGATTCAATTCATTGTTGTTTGTGATTTCACTTTTCTTTTCACAGCAATAAATGAATGCTTTAAATCCTTACTTAAATTGACTGAAAGTTTTGTTAAATCTTCAAAATCAAAAGTGTACAATCTCATTGAACTGTTTATCATAGTAAAAGAATACCATCTGTATAAGTTCTCTGTAGGATAAAACATTATTATTATAATACCAGTTAAAAGTAATTTACTATCTGGTAAACTAGAAAATGATCATCACAAATATTTAAGTCTACTATTATCAAAGACGAATCTATTTTTAAACACATTTAAAATGTCATTTTATGTCAACCGTACTTGCGTAATAAACAAACTCTACTGAAGAAGAAGAAGAATAAGAAGTAGCTATAGGATCTCTCGTATTAAATAGATTCACATAACTTGAACATAACTGAATGTACTATTTAAAGTGTCTTGTGAATAACTTTGATTATGAAATATCTACACTTCATCACATGAATTTTAAACCAATGAATCGTAAACGAAGACAAAATGTTAAAAGAAATAACGTTGAATATTGCTGCTTCCAATGAAAATGCCATCTTCAGATTTCGTTGGTTCAAATCTCAAGTTCACGATGCTGGATGCGATGTGATAGATAACACATTCATTCGCTTGATATTTGTCTAAATCTTTAGTTCACTGACGTCCGATAACACTCAAACTGGTGCATACTTATATCAAATAGTCAGAAAAAACGTAACTTATAGATTGACCAGACATTAAATATGAACATTTTTTCATTGCTACAATTTTTCACTCACCTTACTACTTACATTAAACAGTTCCTATAAATATGCAGTATTATATTTACCTTTTAATTCATTCTTAGTCTAGTAACTTGATGGGACAAATAAATAATGGTTAAACATCCTGAATGGTCATGGCTATATGTGTGCGGGATCGTGGATTAGCACTGCTGAGAATTACCATATTAAAAAGAAACGACCGTTCAGTGCATCTAAGTTTTCAGTGGTTTAGCTTAGATAGTTTCGTGAATTCAATTGTGAAAAACAAGTATTAATCACCTGCTTTACTAACATTACTGAAATACCTATTTTCCAGATGTTCAGTTATTGAAAAGATTGATTGAGAAGATGAATGGATCATTCTTAAACCACCATTGAGAACCTAGAAGCACTGGATGACCATTTCGTCTTCGTATGGGGTTTATCAGCAGTGCGCATTCACGATCTCCTGGACGGGGTTCCAACTCAGGACCTTCGGTTGTCAACTTGAGCGCTTAACCTCTAGACTATTGAGTCGAGATACAACGGTGTTAATGTCTGACCCATCTATGATATTACACAACCATCTTCCATTGTCTTTGGTGGGTAACTGCCTCACATCCAACACGGATTAGCTCCACTGGTCGTGGCTTCCCATTAGAACTCCGAGAATTACCTCTCGAAGCTAGTCATGACTGAGTACATGATACTGGAAACAATTTTTCATATCTAATTTATGTTGAGTTACTAATAACGACTGTTAATCAAACTATGTACTGACGCTGTGAAGATTTATCAAATGTTTGTCTGTGAGAATTTATATTATCAATATTGTCATGAATAAAATGTACACTGAAGTGCTATTTTTCATACATGAGAAAACATATTCTCATGGTACTAAATAACCTACATGAATAACGTAATTCAATTAATATATGCGTAATCGAATTGATCCCAGACATGACTTCACTCCATAAAATTGTAAAGACAGTTGATGCATAATTTATATCTGTTTCATTGTAATGAAACTGTAATGAATTCCTAGTCAAATTTTTAAATTTTTGATTCGTCGCATTTTTATTTATACTACTGATAAACACTACTGGACGACGTAATATTGGTGAATTGAATGAACAAAACTTTTCCAAGCTTGGGTCAATCTAAAATGAAATGTAAAACAGTAAATTAGTAGTAAATACTAACACGAATAATTATGACTCATTATGAAGTATGTTTCATTCAGAATATTCTTTTCAAGGATAAAAAAATGTGCTCGATTCAGTCCTTGCAAAATTAGATAGTTCAATGACTCTGTACATACATAAAGTTATTTTTTTAAACCATAATCAAATAGTCTCTCGTTTTGTTCTACTAAAATATTCCTCATTACACTTTACACTGATCCATCTAATGTTTAACGCATACATAACACTATCTTAAGGAGGAAAAATCGCGGGCTGTTAACGTACCGTGGTGTGTTAGATTGGGATTTCCATGTATCTTCACCTTTCTCTTATAATCATCATGAACCTATCTAACATCCAGATCCAAAAGTGTCTTTATGCTACATGATCAAGTGTAGAAATTTAAAATTAAAACGAAGGTTACTGACAATAATATTAGGATGTGTTAGTCTTGTACATGGAATATTTATTACGTAAACTTCCAAACTCTCATAAGTAATAAATAACGTTCGAGGAAACAAATTACAGAAGGACTAGAAAGTTAGGTTATTACCAATGCAACCAAGATGATGTAAAGGTGTATTTCAAGGTTCTCTGTTCGGCACTATTGAAAATGTCCTATGTTACAGGAATTTATCTCCTTTTTAACAAACATTTTAAAATAAGAATTAATATAAAATGGGCCGAATGTTCAAGTTCAAAAAGCCATTTATACTGCACACTTATACATCTTATTTAAATAATTAATATTATAGCTGTAATTTACACTTTTGTTCTTAAATCTGAATAGTCAGCTTTTAACAACTAATCGCTTCGTAAAAATCAAAGACTGCTTTAGCATCTTATATATATATATACTTCAGCAGTGCTCACATACAATTCATCGCGAATCAAAGCCAATATATTCAGATCTCGAAGAAAGCTCATGACCTTCAGACCATGACTTGACGACTATTGGTGTACATCCATAAACTTCATCAGTTTGCGATATTGCTCTTTCATATTTCAATCGCCTTAATCTTTGATTATCTTGCATCGTACATGGTTGAATTATTCTAATGAAAATTCACGTTCCAACATATGATCATCTGATTGGGTACATTTGACTGAACATTGTTGACGTTCAACAAGTTATTTATTTACTAAATAAATTATATTTTTATAATTTGCATTTAAATAGATATTTTATGAACGACTTGAGAAGATTGCTGTGCTCTGTTTGAAGGCTAATAGCAGTAATTATATTATTGATGTAAGATAATCAAGAAATTGTTTATGAGAATATACTTTTATTTATCTATAATCATGATAGATCACTCACAACCGTCTTAAATCTAATGATCATAGTGACGATTTCATAAAGACACCATCAATGTATTAACTGTATCATAAATAAACTTAGTACTTACTGTTTTGAGTAAATTTTTAAAATCACATTTATGTTGAGATATGATTCCGGTTATTTGAGGTGAATTAAACCAACAATAACTTGTTGACGCATAAATACAAGTTGGTGTACTCCAACCATCATTTTGTTTTGATTGTGTTCGAGCATATACTTTAAATATGTATGAAGTATTTTCATGTAACTGATCTATGGTATATGTTGTTTCAAATAATTTTAGTATCACTGTAAATTGTTCCTTAATTTCTTTGCTGTTCGTTGAATCTTTAAATAAAGTAAAATAATAGATTCGTTAAACTAATTCTTTAATTAGTGACCTTTTCGTTAAGTTACGAAAATGCAACTAATATTCAACATTTCCAAACACCCAAAATTATAACATATTACATAGGGTGAAGAGTGACTCAGATGAGCGAGTAGATAGATAAAAGAGTAAAAACCAAATATGATATTGGTTAGTTCTTAGTAGTTCAGCCATTTGAATATCTACATGCACTATCAATCAGATTTTACGTATAAATCTCATTTCGTTTAACCTTGTTTAAAGCATGTATGTGTAGTGACAACTAAACACATTGTATTAGTTTATTTAAGTAATTATGAGAACTGCATTCTTCACT